TGCGTACGCAAGTTTCTGGGCTCAAATTGTGCGTACGCAAGTTTTATAAATCCGACCCCTGGGCTGAGAAACTTTCTATCTAATCAGTGATTTCCTCCTCTAACTTCCTGAGGATAGAAACGTAGAGTTCAGACGGTCAGCTAATAAAAACACATTAGACTTTTTCTTTGTTATTAAACACTTAATCAATCCAATGATTTATTTTCTTTCTGGAACCACTGGAGTAATATTAACCCTGGTCTACTGTGGAGAAATGTTTTTTTTTCCTACACATGGCTTTAAAATCAAGATCTTAATAAAACCTTGAACTTCTGGTTGCTGACCTAAAGGTGTCACAGCATTTTTTTATTAATATGACTCAGCAGAACTGGGTCCAAGTGAGATTAAAGCGGCAGGGAGAGGATTACGGTCTTGTTGGAAATGTTTTTCCTGTGTGGGGGGTGTTCAGAGGGGATGAAGACTTTCTGTGCTTTAAGCCAGTTCTCTCTGCTTGATGCTTTTTAAAGGACTAAACTGTTGTTTGGACCAAGTGTCTTTAAAAAAACATTTAAAGGGGGTTATTATGTATTTTCCAGACATGTAGTTAAATTCTATACAACAATCTAGTAACTGTTACATTCAGTTATATCAAAGTCTGTATGTATCAAAAATACATTGGACTTTTGAAAGACTCTTGAAATAAGAACCTACTGCCGTTTTTGACATTCCCACTTCAGCATGTTTTCACAACAGTGCTTCATGCAGTTTACATTTTTTTGTAGGAGCGAAACAACATTTTATAATAGAATGTAACAATTCATTCAAGCCCTGATTCAATTGTCGATTCACAATTAATTTGATTTTTTTCTTTCTTTTTTTTCAGTAAAATGAATTGTAGCCATTTTATAACCAAATATGTTTTTTATTTTAGCATCACCGTTTTTTCCCCCCTGTTTCAAACTAACTGGCTGTGTTAGGGATCTTATATGATCCCTAACATATGTAAAACATAACATCGAAATGAGGATTAAGTCCAAAAGTGGAGAAATAGGCAGATATAAGGTTTTATTTAAATGTGTGCAAACATTGCGTTTTGTTAAAACATAATGAATTAATGCTTTATCAATGTATCATTTGAATGAATTGCCTGAAATATAATCCTAAAGAATATTTGAAGCATTTTTTAGCAGTGACAACAACAAAAAAATACAGATTTTGAGGAAAAACACCTTCAAATTTTGAATTTTTCCCTGTGAGCTAGCAATGTTTTTGTTTCTTTCCAACTGGGAAATCTTAATATACAAATAATATTTGAGGTTTCCTCTTTATACTGACTTAAAAAAATACTCAATAAATATACATAAAATTAGTTTTCAGACCAAACAGTAACGTATTATCATAACCAACAAGACAAATTAAGTCATATCTCTGGATAAGCTGATGATGTCAGAATGATCCAGGTATTCAAAATGTAGCTTTTAAAGCCAAAAATCTGAAAATGTAATTGGGTCATTTTGACCAAATTTGACTTAATCCTGATTTCGATATGATGTATCACAAATATGAACTTTGAAATAAATAAAAATGTCATCACAAATCCTTTTGTGACCAAAAGTTATCATCAAACTGCATTAGTCATAACGTCCTGTAATATAATAACAGTGAAATTTAGGGGTGTAAGAAAATATCGATACACTGAAATATCGCGATATTTCATTTCCCGATACTGTATCGATATTCTAAAGCCCTTTATTGATTTTTAATTAAGGTTTAAAATGTCAACTTTCCTGCCAGCCGTTCATTTTTATGTTGTAGTTCAGCCTCTGACCACTAGTTTGTAGCAGTGAGCCAGCCATTTGGATCCTCTACCTCTTGAGCGCCAGAGAGTAAGGGTAGCATTAGCATTGTAAGTAAACATTAGCTTTTCTTCTTTTTCTTTTTTTTTCAGTAAGAGGTTTTTATTTAATAGAATTTTTGGACAGAAATATCGCAATATATCGCCTTGCTTACAGTATTGCAAAATATTGGGATATATCGTATCGTGACCCCTCTGTTATATGTATCGTATCGCCAAATTCATGCCAATACACAGCCCTAGTGAAATTGGATTGTTATGAATTTATTCAGTTACAGTTACATCCCTTCTAATATTTTATTTTTATTTTGTCGTTGTTTAATGTCAGTTTAGAAAAATAGCAACTCAGGATACAGTTGAACCTTGTGTAAATAATCCCACGTCGGACCCGTAAAGTACGTTTTCTGAAGAACTAGAGCGAGTAGAGAGGCTCTTACAAAACAATTCAGCTCAGTATTATATCCAGTCATCCTCTCGTACAAATACGTCAATATTAAGCTATCTTTTGAGAAGAAACTATAAATATAGATCATTATGAAGCTACTGTGTTTTGCGATGAATTGTTTAAGATACGTTAGTCTGGTGGAGGAGGGGAAGGGGGTGTTCTGTGGGATGGGACCTGGGCTTCTGTCTGAGCTACAGGGAGGAGCTTTGTGTAAATAGGCGAAGCTTTGTACCAGGAACCATTAAGGCAGTTACACACGTCTTTCTCAAACATGCATGATTGAGTCAAAGCAACACTCTTACGTATGTTTTTGATGAGGGAATGGCATTTTAACATGATTTACAGCTTTAAAAAATAATGTTGATTTTGCATAACACCCCCCCTTTAATATCCTAAATAAAACCACGTGCAGCATGGCTTTTTGAATAGACGGGACTAACACAWATTTAAGAAGGTTCCCCTGAAAGTTGATAAAGTAAACGTGTGTATTGTGTAACATGTAAGACATATGGTTGTGCAGTTTGGGTTAATAAGTTTTAAACCYACTCCAGGGACGGCTCTTGTGTTGATAATAATGGACCAACTGAACAGAAAGTAACTTTCATCTTGTGTGGTCTGAAGCTGAAAAAGCTGKAGACGGTGCAGGGTAATTTATTGTAACCCCCCTCCTGTGTTTTCCTGTAAATGAACTCACATTTGGTTTCAGTAAAGTGGAAGGTTTTGGACGGAGCTTCGCCTCCGTCTCAGGATCCAACAGCAGACGTGTAGCTGGCACCTCCCAGATGTGAGCGAGCGTAAACAGAAAGAAGAGCTCTGCATCCTCAGCAATCATTTCTGGGATGGCTTTTTGGGAGTGCTTGCCGGGGGTCTTTTCACAGTAGCCTGGAATAACTCTGTTGTACGGCTGCCASAAAACATAAATCATGCATTAGTCTTTCTTAGAAGACAACATTATTCCCGTTCAGAATGGATCGGCTTGCGTTCTGGCCTGTGCACACTCTTAAATTGCTCACTGCTTCTGTGCACCCTGAAGATGCCAAGGATAAAGGAGCGACTTAATTATTCCTTCAGGCCAATAGCTTTCAAGGCCCAGCACCCTTGGCAATAGCCTCMTGACTAATTATGCAAATAGATGGAGACAAGACAAAATGAAAAGAGGAGAGAAAACAACAACTATGCCCCTGCTTGTCGTTTAATCCCTGTTATTCTCASCTATTTCCATTTTCATGTATAAAACCTTGTTCTCTCTGTTTTTATGCTCCATCCTATTTRCCTTCAGGTGTTTAGTAATTTTATACAACGCTGTAATGGCCTTTATTGCAGAAGCTCTAACAAAACAGCACCTATTGTTCCACCTCAGCTCAGTCAGAAGTTATTAAGTCCACTGGGAGCTTTTAAAGCGTGTCCACTGCTCTGATCCTCAGGTGATGTTGGGTGGACGCTCCCTCCACATGGCAGCGGTATTGTTGCTGGATGCCGGCTGCCCTGGCAATAAAACAAAGAACCTTTCTAATTTTTTTCTTTTTCTTACCGGACCACTGAGTTGACAGATTCATCGGTTTTCTACTCAGTAGCTGCCGGTTGATTGTGCTGCGGTGATTCAAACTGTGACATTGATGGGATTCTCAGTGTTGTGCATTTGACTGCTTAGGGAAATGGGATTAAGTGGTTCTGTGAGCGCACGTGTGCACGTTTGTGTGTGTGTGTGTGTGTGGTCTTTGAGTGAGTCTTCTGGTTCAGCGTCTCTGACTCCCCAAACTCAACATCAACAGCAGAAGGGAGCTACAAGAGGAAATATACAAAAACTAAAACCACTAAAATGTTTTATAAAAAGAGAGATGGGTCATTAAAGTGCCTGTTACATAAAAAGTAATTAATAAACATGAATGTATTTTTGGAAGGAAAACATTCATAACATATTGCGAAAGAGATTTCACTCCGCTGAGATGAACAGTCATTGAGATATTTGTCTGTGAAATAACAGGAAGTGATGTCAAAGGGGAACGTCTGCATGTAAACAGAGTTGCTACTATGCCTAACGACAGACTGTAGGTGGGTATCTGACATTTAAAACCAAAGACCTGAGAGTTTTCATTTGACGCAGTATGAAAATTAAGACTATTGCACAACCAGTGGTTGCTACATCTTTGTAGCAGGAGGCTATATCTATTCCTCAGCCAGCTATTGATCTGATTAATGATAGGCCGGCACCGCTAACTGAGCAGCTGGCCCCTGTAACTGAGAGGTAGGTGCTGGCAAATGAGAAGGAGACTGTTCATTTGAGTTAGCGTTGGAGAGACTAAAAAATAGCATGGATAAGCTGGCGTTAGCATTGGAGAGCCTAGCAACTAGCATGCATAGGTTATTGACCCACTGGATTGCCAACTCCCTCCGCTGTCCATTGACATGGATAGGCTGGTGTTAGCATTTGAGAGGTTAGCAACTAGCGTTGATAAACTGGCGTTAGCATTGGAGAAGCTACCTAGTTATAGCCTCCTGCTATATGATGTAGCAGCTGCTGGTTGTGCAATAGTCTTAATTTTGGCCCTCATACTGCCCCATACTCATTCTCAAAGAGTTCCCCTTTGATGTCACTTCCTGTTTCCTGTTTTTTAGCGCATTTTTTGCAGCTTGAGCCATGTTTCAACATAAAAACATGCACCAGAAAATGTAGGTCCATAAATGGATGGTACTGAAATATGCTGTAATTCCATAACAAAATCAATTTTTAATTTGACCATGTCTCATCATCATCATCATCATCATCATCATCATCATCATCATCATCATCATCATCATCATCATCACACACACTCACCTCCTGATCTGTTTTCAGCTCCGTTCCATCGTCTCGTTCACCCGGCGGCCTGGAAGCAGCTCAGCTCGGTGAAACAAACCACCCCTTTCTGCAAAAACAAACAAACTTCTCCCTGAGCTCAGTTCACAAGGATTCAAGCCTCCATTTYTTTTATTTTTTTGATGCCAAATTCAAAACCCAGATTAGAGCTGCAGTCATGCGCTGCATATCAATGCTGCTTTTTAAGCTCCGCTTTTCAAAGCCTCTAAAAGGAGACGATTATATATATTTTTTGCCTCGGCTCAGGGAAGTTTTTATCTTTGTTTCTGAGGGCACAGCTTGAATTAATCTTTGTGTTTTGACATAGAAACACCATTGTACCCGCTGACAAACTGCTTTTGGTAAAAGCTGATTAGTTTGGAGCAATTTTTTGTGCTTTTAGACCTCAAAGTGTGTGTTTTTTGGCTTGAAAGTTCTTTTGTAGAGGGCTCTATTAAATAAACCATCAATTTAATTTTTTAATTATTTTATTCTAATAGGTTTGACTTTGATAATTTTTGCACAAAGATGGAAAATAAATATTTTTAGTGAGTCTTTGGTTTGTTATCACCAATTACATTTTATATATCTGTAAATCAATGATGTTAGATATACGACATTTGATTTTAGAAAGAATTAGTGATTATTTTAATCATTCTGCAGATTTGTGTGGGTTAAGTGAACACAGTGGTTGATGTGACTCCAGCTGAGCTAAACACTGATTGTTGTTTTACTTCCTGTTTACTTGAAGTAAAATAATTCATCGCTCTTATGCATATTTATTATTTTCATCATGTTAAATTGTAAGAAAAAAGCTTAAAAGCGTCAGGAACTTTGTCATAAACCAACTCATTATTATGGAGGACCGAAACTGATACAATTAGAAATAAAAGCTGAAATATATAAATGGACCAATAAATAAATAAATACCCTTAAAATGCACCAAATAAATTTAAAAAAGAGAACTTTACCTCATGTTTTATATTTTAAAGGAGGAAAACTCTTACCTGTGTTTTTGTTTTAAACTAAACTTTAAGATAAACTGAAGCAGCACAGTAGATCGGCATAGGAATTCTTCTACTTCCTGTCTGTTGACCAATAGGAGAGGAGCTGACCCCCAAAGCCCCACCCACCTTATTTGCATAATGAGGCAGAAGTGCATAAGATGAAGTAAGAAAAGGAGACAGAGAAATGTAAAAACACATGGAAATAAAAAGATGTGGTAGAAAATATAAAAAAATATTTAGTTAAATATAATCATTTAAGAGACACAAATGCAAAAACAAGTAAAAGGACAAACAAACAATATACTGTAATTTATTGGATCTAAGCTGGAAAAATAAATATGAAGGTCAATTAAATGATAAAACATTAGGTAAATTTAATCTTTTTTAATTTAATTGGTGCATTTTAAGCATATTTATTTATTTACTGGTCCATTTATATATTTCTGCTTTTATTAGTAATTTTGTCAGTTTTGGCCCTCCATACCTCATGTCCAAAAAAGCTAAAAATGTATAGTGATTTTATATTTTAGTTAATTCTTAATTAATTGCATTATGTTTTTTTCTCTTTAAACACTAATAAAACTATAATTAAGCACCAGGTTTGTGCTGTATTCAGATGAAATAACTCATTTTTTAAACATTGATGATTTAATTTCTCTCTCAGGTTGCAGTGTTATGTTCTGTCTTTTGTTTCCTTTTTTCTCTCGATAGATTTCATACAGAGTTTTATTTTTTGCATCAGGCAAAACACTTGAGTGAAGAAAGGATCCTGTTTGATTCTGAAGGACGAACACGAGAGCTTGACATTGAGCATTTATTATTCATACCTAACAAGTCTGGCCGGTTGGAGTGAGGACGTGTTTGGCAGCTGCAGGGCTCGGAGCGAGCGGGAAACTTTAACTGTTTATTAAAAGATTTTTTTTTTTCTTTTTGTCCTCCTGCAGGAAACTACCAGCTGTCTCCGACAGTCAACATGCCGCAGGACGACACGGTCATCATCGAGGACGACCGGCCGTCGCTCCTCCCATCCAACCTCTCCGACCAATCCTCGTCCAGCTCGCATGACGACGTGGGATTCGCCGCTGACGTGACGCCGCTGTGGGCCAAAGAGCCGCCTGCTCACATTGAAAAGTACCTTAAATATTTTAATTAAACGCCAACATCACTGATGTTTACTGGATGATCCACGTTGGGCTGATTTCAAGGTTCACATTTGATAAAACCTTGAACTCAGTTATAATAAATTCAATGTTTTTTATCTTCCACCTTCTATTTCAGATTTGTAAAGACTCTGTGTGTCTCCAGCTTTGTTTGTTAAAGCAGGAGTGTGTGTTTTTTGTGTGTGTGTGATTTGGTTTGATTGAAAGCAGTTGTCCTCTCAGCCTGCAGTCAAGGGCCTAGAAATGCCGAAGACTTGTTCCTCTTCAGTGTAAAATAATAATTTTAGTCTAAACAAACCAAACATTTCCAGTTTAAACCCCGCCTTCTTTTAGCTTCTACTCAAAGTGCTCTACATTTAATGAAAATACTTAAAATCTGCCACGTCTCTTGTTCCACACTTATTTCTACATTCAGTCTTTGACATTTCTTGGATTATTATAAATTTTTTACTTTTTACTTTACTGTTTTATATTTACCCATCTTCAATTTTCAGTTCAATTCAATTCAAAAAWTTTTTCATTTCATTAAAAAATACTATATGCAATAATAAAAAATAAACCAAAACCAAAAAACCTTCTATAAAGTACTAGAAAAAAAAACAACTAAGTTAAAGTAAAAATACCATAACAGAAAATTACGTTGGGTAAAAATTAGCGTTGGGCACGTTAACGCGTTATTGTGTTAACGCACCCAACAATTAACGGCAATATTTTTTAACGCGCATTAACACAGTTTCTTTATATTTCTCTGTCTGATCTCTGTTCTCTGGGCTKTCTATGAAGACGCACACACAGACACGCACAAATCTCCCGCGGGAAGGTGGAATCTTCATCACTATTGGCTTCGATAGCATTCGTAGCGCGTTTCAACCAATGAGAGCCTTTATTGTTGAGCATGGCAGCCGCTCACAGGCACCCCAGCTGCAGCCGGGGGAGAAAACATGCCTGAAGCCGCTGGATTGTTCAGGGCATTTTTTTATTTTAAAACTTTTCCCAGCGGTGGGCTGGGAGGAAGTAAAGTTATCTGTAAGCGCTGCGACGCTAAACTGTCTCACCACCGGAGCATTTCGAGCCTGAAATATCACTTCAGTTTAAAACCAGCGTAAACAAACAGAGGGAGGTTCTGCTGACCAGCCTGTGGGAGAAAGAGGGAAAAAGTAAGACCGGCTTGATTTGCCTTATTTTTTAAAGATTTTGAAAATTTATTGCCCCTTTTTATATAAAACAGTACGTAAAATACTCTAAACATATTTGAATCAGTTACATTTTGTGCAGAATAATGAAAATAAATCAAGAATTCAAAGATTTTTTTTTCATTCCAAATGAGTATTATGAGGAATGAACGATGTTCCAATAATTTACAATGAAAAATAAAAGAGAAAATGTACATGGTGTTGTAAGAAAATTTATTTAGTGTTTGTTAACTGAAATCGAGATGAAACCACATAAAAATAGATTAAAATGAGAAGGGAATGGAACCATGCAACACCAGTGACTGGAGTGAACGCCGGTTTAACCAGTCTGTGCAGATAGGCAACCAACGCTGACAAGAAACCGGAAGTCCCGGCATATAAGTACACGCTCTTCAGTGCCTGGTACACCCACTACTGGCCTGCGGCTGAATCGCAGACACTCAGACAAAATAAATCTTTCCTGAATGTGTCATCAACGGTTGTTATCAGTGTGCATTGCCAATGCAATGCACACGATTGTGATTCATTTCCCATCCAAGTCATCTCAACTTTGCCATGCTTCTCCTCCTGCATACTTTGTCCTAGAGCTGCCATTGTAATTTATATCTGTAAAGCCCC